GGGACAGAAGAGGTGGCAGTAGATGGTTTTTATGATGAATTGCAGTCTGTATGTGATAAAATTTCGAAACATGACATGATAATAGTACTTGGTGATTATAATGCAAAGCTTGGGAAAGAAGAAGTCTATGTCAAACTATTTGGAAGGAATAGTCTACATGAAGAAACTAATAATAATGGCCTAAGGGTAGCACAATTTGCAGCTGCAAGTTTTGAGGTCCCCTCCGGGAACGTTCGTAGGACTGACTACACAATTTACGTTCCCAGGCCAGGAATGCTAGTAAGATAAAGGTTAATACTATAAATTCAGTAACTAATGAAATTAAAGCATGTATTGTGAATGGTAATAGATGTTATTATGCCTGTCAGAATTTAATGAAGTCTAAAATACTGGGGAGGGAACTTAAACTGAGAATCTATAAAGTTCTGATAAGACCAGTAGTCACATATGGATGTGAAGCCTGGACATTAACTAGCTTTGACAACTGCAATATACAGGTAGCCCTCGATTTGCGCCGATTCAGAATAACGCTGATTTTGAAAACATAAAATCAAAGGTGGAAAAAATATATTTTACTATTATTTGTAACGTTTAGCTGTTTGTGAAATGCAAACTTTTGCATATGCGAGTTTGTTCTTATGCAATTTCATTCCTGGTGCTTTATACTTTCAAAGGACTAATTTAATCTCTGTGGAGGTACTGGGGTTATTTTTACTACGCGATTTTCTATAAGTTGGCGTCTTACATGAATGCAACTATTGCATCAGTCACATGAAAGAATCGCAGTCAATCACGGGGACCAATGAATTGCCGATTCATAGTGTATAAAATATATTTTTTAAATTCCCTTTATTTTATTTACGTTATTCCAGAGCTTTAAATGTAATGCCATTATATTACTCGTCAATGTTTGGTTGCATACTGCATCCCTGGTGTAAATCGAGGGCTACCTGTACATAACCATGACATCTTACCTGTAGTTGTTGGGAATGTTCATTCTGACAAGCAATTTCCTGTTCTAATTCTGATACTTCTAGGAGATGATGACGAGTCACAAGAGAAGACAGTTCACCCACAACTGTAACATGCTTGGATACTGTTCCAGACATTTTCTGAAATGTAATGGGTTTGTATTTCATAAACACTAGAAATAAAATCCAAATCGATCTAGGCTCACCACCCTGAGTAAACCTTATATCTGTCTGTTAAAACAAAATTTCAATATTGCAAAAATTACTAAGAATAAACTTATAAATTATACTGCTATGTGTATCACCACATCCATAGATATCTCATTTGACTTTCAGTATGTACTATATAAATATGAGCCAGCTTACAAATGAAACCTAGCATAAAACAGTAAAGTTCTGTTCCCAACATAGTTGCACTCCCTCAGCATCCCACAGAAATCACAGGCTTGTTTTCAAAATGCTGGCACTCGAAGTTTTGAAATTTGTTTCAGCTATATACCATTGTCGGCATAGAACAACCTTCAGCAGGCTGGAAAAGATTGGTCTATAACTAAATACAGATAAAATAAAAGAGCATTACATGAAACTAAAATCAACAATATGACTACATATAATAAATCATACAAGAATGCTTAAACATATAAATACTTGGGAAAACAATAACAAACATAGAGAGGCTCATCATTAAATTGCTTGTTATTTATACACTTCAGAACTGTTATCAATCTGTCTATTTTTTATAATGCTGGATATCAGGATATACAAACAACAATTCTAACAATAACTAAGTATAAAAATGAAACAAAGTTTCCTACTTTGAGTGAAGGAGATATATAGTGTCATATAACAAAAGTGCTCAGGAAAATACCAGACCTAAGAAGGATGCAAAAGGTGAGCAATTTGGGATATTATACTGATGGGCTGGAAACAAGGATAAAATGAGAAAGACAGAATTCTGGTATGAAACTGTGTGCTTGGAAGACTGAGGAGGAGATGGAAGGATATTCTTATGATGGCTCTAAGAGATATAGACTGCAACTGATTTAATTACAATTTTTCCATAATGTTAAAATCTGTCGCTATGAACTATGATTTCATTGCGCAGCTTTATCTTAGTCATTACGACACACAAACCTTGAATTGTGGATATGTTTCTACAAATGTCTTCATATCTGCTATGCTTTCTACTTTTTGGTGACTCTTGGCTTTCTTTTGAAACTCCTCCATTAATTCTTTTATGGTTTGCCCAATTTCGCCAAAATTTGAATATAAATTCTGAAACAATAACACATTTTCAATAATTATTAAATAAATCATTACAAATTTCCAACAGATCTAATACACTTCAGTTAATTCTTAAGATCTCTTTTATACCCGACTACTTCGGCAATACAGACATCAATCGTCATTCATCAATTTTCAGTTCACAACACAGCACTATATCTATTAATAAACTTACGTTTGCATAAAATTCATCTTGTTCAGCAGACAGAACAACTTCCTTCAGATCCTTTGAAATACCTGGGACTTCAGACAGACTGACACGATTATTGGTGATGGTGAGGAGTTCATGAACCATTGCCTGGTATGTCCACTAATGTAAATGAAATTATGATACAGAACAATCAGTCTTAGATTTTCTTTCAGCCACATGAAAAATTGAAACAAAGTCTTATAGTCTCTTATATAGATGATCTCTTGTAAAATAAAGTTAGGTGATCTGATTATACAAAATTTAGCATGCAGGAAAAGAAATGAAACATAACACCCTATGACAGCAAAGTGTAATATACTGTACTTAACAACTGTATTTTACCAAAGCTTCAACATACACGGAGAATCAATTACAATAACACACACATTGCTGACAATTTAATTTAAATCTAGATATAATATCACTACAAAACAACAACAAAGTTAACATTTACCTGATTCAGAAGCGGTGTTACAGGATCATCTCTTCGGTCCAAAATTAACAACAAAGGTGAAACTTCTGTTTGCCGAAATTCAAATAGTGAAGCCTCTTTAGATAATACCTCCTAAAATAATAATCACATCATTCAAACATGCACAACAATGTTTATAATAAGGCTACATAGAACATTGTTTACTGAGAAGTGTAAATGCCAAATATGACAACTATTCCAATTACAAACTTAAAATTTGATTTAGTTAGTTATTTAGAGTTTTATGTAGTTCATATGTTCATTGACCGCAAACATATGAACAAGACTTTTGGCAAGTAAAGCATAAAAGCAAATGTATGATAAGGAAAGATTTGGTGTCTTGAAATTACAGAATATGAAAGTTAAAGAACAGTATCAGACTAATATTGATGTGCAGTTTTGGGAAACATGAATATTACTGTCAACATCAATAAAGCTTTTATAAGTACTAAGAATAAAATCAAAATTTGGGCCAAACAGAGTACAGCGATGATAATGTTTTGGGGACATGTCATTAACAGAATTTGCGAAGTTCATCATTATACTAGAATAATCACAAACAAATTAAAGAACAGTCTAATATATAAAAATATTGTAAAAAATATGAGTACTCAGCAATGCTTACTCTTATTTTTTCTGCTAACCTCTTTGCCATCTCTGAATTATTTTGGTACCGAATAAATGGGCACTTCTTCAATGACAAGAGAACTGCAGTTATTCCTTGAACACTTCTTTGCTGATGTGCATGATTCCATGCCAAACCTTTAAATAAAAATAAAACATTAACTATTCTGACTGTTATATTACCATATGCACAGCCATGAGATCCTGAATAAAGATGAAGGATAAGAAATATTTCAAGTAATCAGCACTTTGACTCTTCAACTTATACCATGGTTGAGACGTAAATTTAATTTAGAAAATATAACTGCAAAAATCAGTATGTAGGAAACGTTACCACAGTGCCTTCTGTATAGTATAAAAGACAATTTTAAGATTTCTTATGCTCACAGCACAGATATTTAAATGTGCACAGACATCAAGAAAAATGATGAAGTTACGTAATACATTCAATAGCTGATATTTTTCATTGTTCTCATAATTTATCAGTATGCTATGAACTGTAGGATGGATGGGAAATAAATATGGGTAAAGGGCAGAAGGAGATAAATGTACAAAACTGACAAATGGAAGGAAGAGGATGAGGCATTAAGATGTAAAATAAATCATTCCTTTCAATGAGATTTTTACACTAGTAAATTTAGCAAACTAACTCTCTGGTGGTATAACAAAAATGTTAACACTATTAATATCAAAACTTTGCACAGCATTTAATACAATTCTTGATCAAATAATCACAGATATCCAAAAATAATCTGGTAACAGAAAGTATGACAGCCACAAGCAATAGAAGTTTCTAATTTTAAATACCAGAGACAGAACATAAAATGAATATGAACTTCGAGAATATATAAACCTTAGCTACAATGATTTTAATAATAAAGTGTCTTTCACATAGGCATGGTAAGTTCTGAAAATAAGGCATATCAAAATACTAACATATTCTACACAACTATATACAAAAAATAAGGAATAGATAATTTATATTATCTACCTACACTAAACTATATTAAATATAACTAGTCCACTCAGTCGCAACTTTATGAAGTGTTTATGGATTAGAGAAACCAACTAATATTTACCAACCTTGGGCACATGCTGTGATATTCAGTGAGAAAAGGTGTGGGCTCACGGCCAGATAGTCACCATAAAATTCCTGGACCTCCCGCACCACTTCTTGCTCATCAGATTCGGCTAAAGTTTTTATGTCTGCCTTTGCTATAATGTTACTGAAATCTAAGAAATGGCAAAAGGAAAGCAACAATACAGATTGAAAACTAAAACACTACCAGAATTTACTGCCAGCAGTTTACACCATATAATGTAATACAAAGCATGCCATCGGACAAGGACTAGGCAATATAATTTAAATACGTTTTTAATTAATTAAAGAATAGCAAGAACATAACATTTCTGTTAGTGTTATTTGTTTATTATTAAACAAGAGTGCTCACTGCATTGAACTTTGGCCCACTCTTCCTCAGAATATTTGTAACATACATTGTTGAATTCTGAAATGTATTATACACCAGCAAGCTATGGAAAAATTATACAAACATTCATGCAGTATCACCAGTTATGGAATTAATTCTCAGAATCTATACAATGAGAAAGAATATGTATAAGATTTTTTATTCACAATCTTTAATGACAACGCATAACATAAGAAAGTATTAGCATTAAATATCTTGAGGATGTAGGATTTGGGGTTTTCATGGTGGTGAGTCTGAAGATAGCTGTCTTCTGGGTTGTTGTGCCAGGTAGTCTGGTAAAAGTTTACTGATGGAGGCAGCAAGGACCTCTGAAATGTCAGTAAACTTCAAAAACAAACAATTTTGGTCTTGGCACTAACCTTCTATTGTGCTTAGTATCTGACTTCATGAAACCATATTCACCAGAGTTCAAACATTCTAAAAACCTTTCCCTGGTTTCAAAGTGTAAGCATGCCTAGTTTGCAGCAAACTGAAGTGTCCCTTCATGCGTTTTAAGTAAATATATATACATACCCACAAACAATTTCAATTTTATACATAAGATGGAGTGTCCTGTTGCACATTTTCAGATTAGTGCAGCTAGAATTAAAATATCTTGTGTATTATAACATTTCAGTGTCTTTATGGCTGTCTCATCAAAGCTTAGTTTGAATACTAATGGTTTAGCAATAAGTAGAAAGAGGAACTGAGAAAAGATATTTTGACCATTTACTAAGAAACAATGTAACCACTGCATCCACCTAAGTGGTTAAATTTAATTTTCAGATACTGGTAACTGTAAAATTTAAATTACTCTGTGCAAAAACACCATGATGTGAAGAGTGTCCATTTATGGAAATCAATAAGACTTCCACTCAAGAAAAATAATTAAGGAAACATGGAGTATTGTTTTTGGACCAAATAAAGCAAACAGAATAGTTTGCTTAAACTTACTCACATATATAATACACTCCATATCTGGGATATCGCAATTCGCGGGACAGAAGAGCTACATTTTCTTTAGTTGGCCTTAGGAATGTGATACACTTGAGATGCTTCATACTTTCATGCTGGCCTCCAGAGTCAATCCTCTCAAATAAGTATACCTCCTTCTGTAAGATTTCTGACTGTCCATACACCATGCTCACAATACTTGTCTGTAACAAGATATTTCAGAAATTTTGTGGATATCAATCAGCAGAATTATACTATGATATGAACAAGATATTCTGCGTTCCTTATACACTGGACGAACACAAACCAACATCAACAGAGTTTAACACTATAACCTTGACAGTCTGTAAACAACAACTACCTACAAAAATTCTTTATAAATTATACAAAATATGACATGACATGTAACATGACCTGGCCTCTTCTGAACTAACCAAACCAAAAGTGATGTAGCACTATGGGGCATAAAACTGCCCTGTAAGGTAGTGTGGCGGGGAAAGAAAAAGAAAGAAAAACGTTCATATTAAACCAAAGACTAAATATGCACACTATATAAACAGTACCACAATCTAATTTTGGGGTAAATGCTGTTTCTTTTATAGGGCACCAAAAAATACCCAAGGTAAGAGAACCATAAGAACATGTTTAACACTGAAGAACCTTGCTATTCAAACACTTACCGTTTGTTTGTCCATTAGAAGAACTTTCATACCGGGGCCACTATCTTCTGCCATTCGAGTTACGTACATTTTAACAGCCGCTACCACATTCATTGTTCTTATAAACACTAAACTTATCAAAGTATAAATAAAGTAATATAATTCTGCCGCAATTATAAAAACAGATATATATACTTCGCACTGATTCCTAAACTCCTTTTAGTATGCGATTCAACCGAGCCATTTTGTACGAATTCCTGTCAACCACAACTGACAATCGAATAACCTGTAATACGCAAATAACGTAGCTAGCACAGACAATTTACTCTATCTAGTTGGCTCATACTACTTCAGTCGCAGTTGAGTCACAGAACACAGCCAATGAACATGTCACATTGGCACACAATAACACAGAATAGTTACACAGCTCCTCCTCCTTCTAGGTGGATCAAGCATGGTAGGGATTCAGCACAGCTTATACCAACTTTCATAAATCATCGAGTATCATTTTGTTGTAACACAATCTGTGTACATATGAAGGAACTGTGTGAGGTCATGCCAGTCTCCTTGTGCTGCCAAATCGAATTGTATATCATATTACATTATCACAAAAGTAAAAGTTCCCACAAAAATCCACATACATCTGACATAAAAAATTATAATTTCATAAAGTTCAATCGAAGCTGTTGTCTTTGAAGCTGCATTAATGTGTTGACTCAGCATCATATATGTCTTACAATGTGTTTCAGCACCAAGCTCATACATTTCAAGACGATTTCAATATAATAACATACTTGTTCAACAATTCTGTGCACCTTCTGATTATATTAAATTGGCAGATTACTTTGGCACTAAAATTACATTCCTTTATTGTCTCAATCTTCTGGGCACAGCTGTATGAAGTCTTCATATATAACATTTCATGTTGACTCCAAGGTTTCCTCCCAAAGATTCTATGTGGAGTTTTCCCAGTACCACCTTCACCTTGCTCCAGGGCTGGACAATTTGAGTTATCTTGGTCCTTCCATTGGCCAGCTACACAGTAGTTAGAGTTGACATGCTGGAGAGCCACTGGGAGTGAGCTGACGAAAGGTCTAAGACAACCAAAACTTGGAGAAAAATGAAGGAAGTACTGACACAAATCCACAGAGCACCTCTGAGAAGACAACTTGGGGTCATGATGATCGGATAGAGTGGCACTACTGGCTACACAGGATAAGTGATGTTAGAGGTGGTACCAACAGTGCTGATACTTGCACACATTTTGAGGCTCCAGAACCAGGAACCATAGCCTGATGCATTAGTATGACATTGGGGCACCATTCAAGAGGCACCATAGACATTGTAGGATAGTACCCAGAGAGCTAGAAAATATGCTGACACCTCCTGTCTGCCATGGACTATTTCATGAAATAGCTGTTGGTGTCTTAACCATCCCCAAGCAAGGGGCATCAACTGGAAAATTTTCTGTGACCAACTTTTTCTGTCACATAGGGGTCCTTAGAGAGCTACCTAGTGATGAGGGCCAGAACTTTGAGCATCAGTTTGTGTGCGAGGTGATGGACCATCTAGAAATAAAGATGACAAAGACCACACCCATTTTCATGCTGTCTGATGGCATACTGAATTTGTAAATGCAGCTAAGGAACTGAGGACGGTTGTTTCGATGCACGAGAGACATTGTGATGAGCGGCTACTATTCTTCCTGCTGGCCTACAGAGCATCGAGCCATGAGACCACAGGCATGACATCAACCAGCAGGGAGTTTAAAATTACAAACCAGAAAAGCAAACTTAGTTTTGGCATTTGCAAGAAACCCACTACCACAGATCACTCATGCCAGTCATTTAAACAAAGATGAACAGGTATGTAGTATTTAGTGAATGGGATGAATAGAGGAATATAAATATGGCAAAAGACTTACTATAGAATCAATATTACATAACAGAAATTCCTCACCAACACCAACAATAAATTGAATATCCTTTAAATAACATGGGTCATCAAACTGGAAAAAATAATATTTTTACAAACAGAAATTCATATGTATTAATATGTAAAGTGTATTGCTACATGCCTATGCAGGCACTTGGGGGGAGCGGAGGTATAGCTCCTACTCTTTCTTGACCTTGATACCAGATGGGGGTGAGTGGTCAGCATTACGCCCCGGCCATGCTTTACCCCCAGGAAAGGAGGCTGGGTGGGCCCCAGAGTCAGTTTGGATGCAGAGGCTAGAGGAAAAATCCTCTACCCCCATTGGGGATCGAACCCTGATCGCCCTGCCCATAGCTAGTCACCATACTGACTGAGCTATCCTGGCTCATTTAATATTACCAGTACCATTGCCAATCAAATGAAGCCACAAATACACCAAACAGATATATATATATATATAAGAATACTGACATTTACCATCTGACTTGCCAAGACTGCCCCCAAAAAGTACCTAGGTCAAACTGGGAATACTTTCAAAGCATATTGCAATAAACATACAGTCTATGAAAACAGGTTCAAAATGCGTTCAGTAATATTTGGTACTGAACACTCTTATAGCTGTATTCAAAACAATCAGAGTACTTGATTTTGCTAACAGTGGCCATGGAAAAGCTAAATACAGGGTACACACAAATGACAGAAGACTCAAATTTATCATAATTTTGTGGCTTATATGATATATGTATAGTACATAATGATGGTGTTCTTCTGGGTTTTAATGCCATTGGTAAAAGCCAATATTTTAGATAAATATATTATCTCCAACTTCAGGGCTGAATTAGCAATTCCTTTTTTATTTTTTTAAAAGCATCGCCACATCAGCCCTGAAACAGTGTCTCTCACTTCAGGGCTGAAGTAGCAATACTTTTTTATTTTTTGTAAGTAGCCTTTCCACTTCAGCCCTGAAGATGGAGACAGTCCATACATACAGAGTGCACCAGAAACACCTAATAATTTTTGAAATGAAATAACTTTTCAAAGCAAAGTGCAAACATTTATTAACACAGGTAGATAATCTTAAAAACTTGCATACAGAACTGTTTAAAGGACACTAATACCAAACGTGTTTTGACCACAAGAGATCATCAGAGGCAAAACAAATTAATTCATATAATACAATTCAAAAGACTATGGTTTTCTACAGAGCATAAAAGGTATGTACTTTACAAAAACCATATTTTACACCTCGCTGGACGTTGATTGCACAGGAATTGGTGTATTAAATTGAGCACTTAGCGTTTATGTCCACTGGTCTGATTGATGTTGTTGGTCTACAGTGAGCTGTGGTTGCATTGTCTGTGCCTGTGAACTTTAACAATGTGAGTGTCCAGCTCACCATAGACAACAACGGCAATCAGTCCAATGGACATAAAAGCTATGTACTTGATTTAATACACCAACTCCTGAGCAATTAATGTCCAGTTAGGTGTTACATAAGTATGGTTTTGTAAAGTACATACCTTGTATGCTCTGATATTGGCAGGGTATGTCTCATATGCCTTGCTTTTGATGTAGTCCCAAATAAAGAAATCTGGTGCCAAAAGATCAGGAGAGCGGGTGGACCAGTTAATGTCCCCAAAATTACAAATGAGTCTGCCTGGAAACATCTCACTGAGAACTGCTATGGAAATCCATGCTGAGTAAGCAGTCTTGTTGAAACCACAGTGAATTAAGCTGACAAAAATTTAACTCGTTTCGCAGAAATGTTTCCAGCATGGCCATGTACCACTCAGCATTGACTGTTACAGTTCGTCTCTCCTCATCCTCAAAGAAAAAGGGTATGCAGAGGGCAATGTTAAAGTTCACACAGGTTGTATGCAGCCCAAACTGAAGTCGGTCCACCTTGTCCTGTTCACAAAGTTCCTGGGCAACTTGGATTTTGTAGGGATGTTTATGCAAATATTTGTGTAAAATTCATCGAACACTACTGTCCTTTACACCAAGCATGAGAACTTGCTGTCGAGCTGACCTATGGGGACTTTGCAACATGGTTTCTCTTACTTGCGCCACATTTTCAGGTGTATGCAACAAACATGGATGCCCTTCAGGTTTACTGTCCTTCACTGATCCTTCTTGACGCCATTTTGATAGCCACAACAGCAGAGTATTGTTACTAGGTGCAGTGCGTGTTTGAAAGTGTAGTCGGAAACCACACTGTGTAACTGTAATTGACTCAGTTCTGATAAACAGTTCACAGCCGTAATGCCGTGTTGCAATTAACCAACATTCCATCTAAACTAAACTCCAAAGAGCACTCTACATGACAAATGTTAGTATGGAAGTGCCACATAGCAGGAAAGATAATAATTACATTTCAGGAATCGTCAGGTATTTCTGGCGCACCTGTATATACTGTCCCTAGCTTCAGTACTGAAGTAGCAATCAATTTTCTTTTATAGAAAGCATTGCCACCTTAGTCCTGAACATGGAGACAGTCCAGGTAAACATAGCCTCCATCTTTAGGGCCGAAGTGGCAATGCTCTTTTATTTTTTATAGGAAGCATGAACGATAGTCCTGAAGACTGAGACAGTCCAGAGAAACATACCTCATAACAGAGGCAGCAAGCACCTCTGAAACTTTGGTAGACTTCTACCAGACTAATGACACATCTCAGAAGAAAATCATTTTCAGTGTACAGTGTTTTGTGCAGCTGGAAATAATGCCAATTATACTACACATCAGAAACCTCACTGCAAGAGTGATAATCAGGTGAGGCATTATTATTGGCATGAGGGATTCGTTACATGATGAATCCTCCTTTTCTTCGTCCTCCTGCATCATTGTCGACATGGGTGATTTGCAAGTAGATGCACCCTCTTCTTCCCTATGCATCATTTTGACATACGGAATATACAAACAGATGCATCTTCTGGTTCTTCTTCCTTCCCATGCATCATTGTTCCAGTTCACTTTTGTTACATTCTTCTCTCACCCCTCTTCATTATGTCCTCCATTTACATAGTTATCCACTTCAATCATGAATGGAAATTGGCCATTCAACTTGTGCTAGGACACATTTTGCTGTATGTCTGTGAGATCCCTGATGATTTCATCCTGTTCCTCCACTAATTTTTTATATACACTCAGCTCTTCTTCCTGGAACAGTAAAATATTTTAAACATAACAGATATTTTCTTTTCTGAGAAATTAACAAGTTAGGAAATATAAGCCATAGTATAATAATTCTGTATGTGACCTTTGAAAATGGCATCAGTGATGGAAGATTTGTGTGGGAGGCATGGCGGGTGGGAGACATTTGCATGGGGGATGTTGGCTAGGTGATGCTGTCATAACAGAGGATTCTCCCACATTCTTGCATGACTGCGTAAGTATTCCCCAGAAGAAGTTAGTAACTTTGTTTTTTATTATTTTTTTATCTGAATATTCCCAATGTGTATCTTGACTTTGATAAGTCTTTGCAGCCATTCCCATGTCTTATGACTGGTTTGTCTGGATGAAGAAATAACTCATGGCAGAATCAACATATTGGGAGAATTATTACAATTAGTAAGAAGAGACTGATCAGTACTAAAGAAACATATACATAAATATGTATGACATATAGTGACATAATTCCTAAATTAGTACTTGAAAATCCCCTATTCCTTTAACTATGATGATTTTGAAGAAAATAATGCTATCTGGTGTGATCATTGCTTGATGTGTTAAGGGTTATAAAGAATTTATGTGATAGTGGGAAAATTCTAGTCAGTAACGGCTCCAAACTTACAGAGTGCTGGTTCGCTAAACGTTCGTTTAAAAGTCTCTCCTTAAGCACTTGAGAGAGATGTTTCATCTCGTCCATATTCAGCTTGTTGATGCAATTCTAGGACCAGGAGAAAGTAACATGTACACATGTATGTCAGAATACTCTTGTAAAGGTGGGAGGATATTAATTAAATTTGGTATTTACAGTACTTACAAAAATATAAATATTGCTCTATATCTGATTCAGTTGTAAGCAACAAAATTTGGTATTTAATGCCTGCAATCCAAAGATAATGATACTGAGAATAATCTAACCTGTAAGTATGTGGTTAGTAATGTGCAGCCTGTGGATCAAATTGTTTTGGCCCATGAGGACAAACTAGTTTTCCTTAAAACAGGCTCATGTTAAAACATAATATAACACATTTTCCAATTTTAAGTGACAGATAAATCTGTATTTTTGAATGAAGCAAAATACTTTCACAGAAGTGTTCAAATCTAGGTTTCTGGACTTTAGACAACATGAAACATCTTTTAACCCTGAAAATGATGATAGCAAAGATGTTTTAACCACTAAGAGTTCCACACTTACCAGTTCCTTATACAATGGGTTTTTTTTCTTGGGTCTCCATCCCACTCTTTCAAGACCCTCTTTTATGTCCAATACCATTACATGGTAGAATGCTTTCAATTCTGGTACAAGGATCTGGAACCAAGAGAAAATAATATTTATACTCTGTTACTGGTTGAAAAACATTCATTATACTTGGTATTTACAGTATTAACAAATATATAAGGCCATTTGCACACTGTCTATTAATCTGATTCTGTTTTTTGAGTGGATTAACTATATCAAAATTTGGTATCTGTTCCCTACAATCACAAAGGTACAGAATGATTAATTTTGTAATTTTTTTCAGTGAGGATAAAATTATATTGCCATATATACATTTGCATTACTTGAAGAAAATATCATAAATGTTTATTTTTCATATACACCCACACATTATGCAAGTAAAGGGCATATATACAGAAGTCAAAAGATGTTGGCTCAGATCAGTCAGATGAAAACTCTACTTGCCAGACCTTCCCTTCACAACATAAACTGTTTAGAATAAGTGTCTGCAAACAACTGATTATAACAGAACTATTTTATGTGCAGCAATTCAATTCAATTCTTTCAATTCAATTCAATTCAATTCTTTATTATTTGTGTGCTGTATCAACAGCCTGGTGGCCAATTACAGATACAGCACAGAGATAAACTCACAAATACAGTAAAACATAAAAGGTAAAACAAGCAATATATAAAATACATTGATACTGAAAGTACACAAAAAATTACTACTAACTACATTAGGATATTTGTAAAATAACATGCATCAATTAAGTAAATTATGCTATTATAGAATATGATTAAGTGTGACAATTTTCGTCTCGAATATGTCCAAATCCCTGCAGACAACATTAGCAGCTGATGCGCATCTAGCAGAAGGACTGTTTTTGAACAAGGGGCTAAAACTGAACATAGAAAAATCCCTCAG